TGTAATTTATACAATCCAGTTTTATTGTACTAAATTATGTACTCGGGGGAGGAAGGTACTCCCTATAATGGACTATATGGGGATTTATAAAATAACTAAGATAGTACGCGCGCTCTGATTGGCCGAGAGCAGTGTTTGCATGAGAGTGTGTAAACATGGTTGAGGCGTCAAGTTGTTTGGCTTTTCGCGCGCTAATCACGCAAGCATCAAATTTGAAAAAGTTTTCGAGTTCAAAACTCGACAAGTTTACTTTATTTACCCATTCCTTCGTCGGCTGAAAAAATCGTTACAAAGAAGGTGAGTCAATTTTTCTTCGCTTAAGCTGACATTTTAAGCGAGAAAACTCCGTATTTTGCAAAGCATCTTTTTGCAAAACAAGAACTCATTACGAGTGCAAGACTTCGTGGACTAGATTTTGCGACTGGTAAGAATTTCTCTTTTAATCAGTGCCATACAAAGAGTTTTGCGTTTTTTTGTAGGGAAAGTTATTTTATAAAAGCAATAGAAAACTTTTTTCCTGTGTTTGCATAGCCTGATATAAACACTCGAGGCGTTGGGAGAGTTCTCGACGGTTATGCAAACCCTCGACGTCGTCTCGGGTTTGCATAACTGTCTCGAATTCTCCCAACCCCTCTCGTGTTTATATCAGGCTATGCAAACACGGAAAACGTTTCTATTGCTTAAACACCACCCGAAATGGGTTACTTTTTCAGGCTTCAGGTATATGAAAGGGTAGGGATTTCACTAGCTGAAGTATATTCTGCCAATATTAGTTTTGTGTGTATCAGTTTGGGTAAAGACTTACTGAATAGGAGAAAGAGTTGTATGAAGAATGTTATTTGCCAACAACGATTCAACTCGAAAAAAAAAGGCTGAACGTTATGATCGATGACTGACCGGAGATTTATTAAGTGAATGTTATCATCATGCCCTCATCATGCGGCAGCCATGTTAGGTCCCCAGAAAACAAATAGCTTGTTTACTTGTTAACTTTACAACAGAACAGAGCACAGTCAAAGCTTCTATATTTGTTATATGATAAAGAATCCGATAAAATCTCCACGCGTTGCTTTCTAGTTTTTAAAACAAACTATTGGCATATGGCGTGACAGCTTCAGCTCCGAGTTTTATACTCTCATAAAGCACGTTTTGTCAACCAACCAAAGTCCGAGTTATAACTGAATTTTCTTATACTGAATATTTGTATCCCTTAAACTATAAGACAGCGTCAATTAGATAAAATAAATAACATTCTTTCTTTCCATGTATTTCCAAAACTGAATTTTTTAATCAAGCTGACCTTCAGATAAACACTCGTGATATACATGTAAATCTGTTAGTAATCAAGATGGATTGAAAATCAAAAACAGCCTTAAGAAAAAAAAACGCTACATTGCAAAAAAAAATAACATGCCCATTTAAAACATATGCATCTTACATCTTTTTCGACAAAGGGCTACATTCAGGCTCTTTATCTCGAACTTTAACGAGCAAAACCTACGATGGCGCACGCCAACAGCATGATAGCGCTGACCATTGGTACTTGGGCTCCATTGCACAGGTCACCTTTACAACAGTTGACTTCGCATTTGGTGATTTTCGCTGAGGGGGCGAACTTTTTGCAATTCTTCTCTCTGCATTTAGATGAAGTGGTACATCCTTTGGCAAAGACTTCATCTGTCACGCCTGAGGTCTCAGCTTTGATATGAAATTTGACACAACGGTCGTCACTGTCCGAACAGGATACCTCTTCTGTGTTGTTTTTGCAGTCATCCCAGCTCTTAGTAAAGAGACATTGGTTGCATTTCAGGGCATAACCTAGAAGAAAAAACAAAAATACTATGAGCCTGTTCCTAAAGAGGGCTGACACAGAATTTTCCCATCAGAATTTTCCCACCAGTGACAATGCAAATGTTTATGACGGTCAAGCGGTGTAATTTTGTGCAAGAAGCTTTTTAAAATGCGAAAGTAGATTTGAAAAGAACTTATCAAGCACTGCAGTTGATTTGTGGTAACCTGCTAGACTATATAAATCGCGAAAACTTAGACCAAACTCGCCGCTTATATCTATAGCGTAGTGATCTGCACTAACAGTTTTTTTTTTGTTTGGATAAATTTTCAAGAAAAAAGTTAATGTAAGTCCCCGTCTGTTTTTAGGTTAGACGAGTGTTTGACAAAACTGGTGAAAGAGACGGTTTCGCAGAGAAACGCCCAGAGTTTAAGGGGGTTTGCAACAAAAAATTATAATTTAGCCAGGGTCAGATGCGCAAGTGTGGTAGCTTTGCTTCCGACCTTTAATTTTAGAAGTGATGTCATCCGATGTCAATACCCGCGCCGGTCAGACTTGAAAGGGTTGCTAAAACCTTAAACAGGTAAATTTCAAAAGAATTTTCAACTGTCGTCTTTGCCCAATACAGTGCCAAAAAAGGCATTTTAAATAACAGATTATTTACGGTTATCTCCCGATAGCTTCAACCCGTTTCATGGAGAATTGCGAAGTACGTACCTAAGACAGCGCTAGTTTGATTCGTGGGAAAGAAAATGTAAACAATATGGAGCTCCCCACTCCTTTATTCCGAGAAAGAAGACCCTAGCTAACAGAGCGAAATTTCTTTAGGATTACTCTTACATAGAAGGAAATTAATCAAAAGAAACAGATATAACAAGATTTAAATAACTTCTCCATTGAAAAGCAAAGGGAAAAAGTAAGACCAAACAGGATATTCAATTTCTAAGCTACGATACAATTCTCCACAGTGCGGTCTCTGAATGGGCGTTTTACCTAAATCCACAGGTCATTATCTGCGACTCTACCTGAGCTTAACTACCTGGCAATCAGGACTAGAGCGGGTATTTCAGATCAAGAGCTAATGGAATACTACCTTTATATTAGACTAGCACCCTACTCCTTTATTCAGAGACAGAAGACTTCTTAGACAACAGAGCGATATTCCTTAAGCATTATCCTTACATAAAAAAAATAATAATAATAAAATAAACAGATAAAACTGGACTCAAATAACTTCTCGATTGAAAAGCAAAGAAAAAAGCAAGGCCAAACAGGATATTCATCTTGTATGCTACAAAACAATTCTCCACCGTTATTATCTGTTATGAAAACACGGACAAGAATATTTTGGAAAGTGCCAATCTGAATTCGCTTTTTACCTAAACCAAGCAAGACTAGAACGGGTATTTTAGAAAATCAGGAGCCAATTACCCTGCTCCAACAAAATATTACGTGTATATGCGTGACTAGGGACGGATGTCAGTCTTGGTTACTGGCTATCCAGGACTTAGCGGCTTAATAAGAATGCGGAATATATGTATATAGTAGTGGAGCCAGGGATCATATTAGTTTACGGTATCCTACTACGAAAAGGTTTGTAGGATATACTAGACGTGGAGTTTAAATATAAAAATTTGCATTTCACTGGTATTTTTGGAGGCCTTTTGCAATCGCTCCAAGGCCTAGTCCAAACGTCGAACTTTTAGGCAGACGTCGAACTTTTCATGAACTCAATTCACTAAGTTTGGATCATCTCATGAAGAGTTCGACGTTTGGCCTAGGCCTAAGTCCTGTATCAACACAGCTGCAATGTTGCGCGTTGCCCGTATTTCATAGGGTTTCTTACTTGGACATTTAGGACCTGCGTTTTTTGAAATCGAAACAAAAAATTTTTTCCAGAATTTAAGCAATGTAATCCGTCAATTGCTCGCAATATTCATGGTCGAACCGAGCTTGTCCACGATCGTAATGGAACGATAAGTCAACAGTCAACATCCAACACAATGTTATGTTTAATAGAGAGTGCGTTTTGGTGTAGAAAAGAACAAGAGAGAAGAAGGCCGAAAAGGATGCCACCGTTTCTAAGTTCGGTAGAATTGCCGTGCTAAATTATCACTAACAGATCCCGTTAAATTATTTGCTCCTAAATGCAAATACGGAAAGCTAACTAGACCTATTTCCAGTCTAATAGAATTCTAGCTTATTAGACTATAATTTACCGTTAAGTTTCTCTCCCACTGATCATACCTGGAGCGAGAGGGAAATAACCATGAAGTTTGTCTGATTTGCGCGGAAAATGTAAGCAAGATGTCACGCCCAACCCCTTAATATATCAGTAAATATTTAGTAAATGTCATATTAGTTCGCATCATTCAAACTACGAAAAGATGAGCGATTTAGGCGTGGAGTTCAGCAAAATATGAAATTTCACGTTAATTTCACCAGCATTTTTTGCAACCCTCTTCTAAATGTGGTATCAGTTGCTTGTTGCCCTTTAATCGACAAAAGAATGCGAGTTTCCAGTTCGTTGACCCATTCTCGTGATATTCATCGAAAGCAACGCATCTGTCCACGATTTGATATGTTCGTGAACACTTAATACAAAGTTACGGCAAAAAGAGAGTAGCTTTTGGTATAGAAAATAACAGGAAGAACAGAAGGTCGAAGAGGATGCCGACGATTCCAAATTTCCGAGTCATTATTACCAAGCTAAATCATTCCTAACACACCCGTTAAATTTTTTGCCCCTAAATGCAAAAGAATGAAGGCTAACCGGACTTATTTCAAGACTAATAAAATACCAACTTATTACACTATGATTTAACATTAGGTTCCGAACCAAATCATTAGGCCAGAGGGAATAATGATGATGTTTGTTCGATTGGTTCGGAAACTAGCAAGATGGTGCGCCACATTTATTCAGAGAAATAAGATAAAGAACGCACACTGACACGAAACATTATCCTTATCCTTACCTAAACAGGAAGAAACATACAAATTGAAATGAAATGCAAAGAAGAAAGGCAAGACCGAACAGGATCTTCATGTTATAAGAAGCAGTACAACTTTCCACTGCTGGCTAAAAGAACACCTCAAGTGGACGATGAATATTAAAGAATGTGCGTCTCTGAATGCGCGTTTTACTAAACGGAGGAGTATAGGATATCGCCCACTTCCCCACTTAAGTAATTGTCAATATATCGATTTTAAGTCTATACTAACCAATAAAAAGGCAACGCTTTATTTAGCTGCCACTATATTTGATTGACACTTGCCCATCATAATCACTTGCAAGCGACAGCTAGGCAGCCCACTAATCTTTTTATAGGGCTGAAAAATTTTTCTAATTTAAGTTCGTAAGAATGCGCAATTGGTTGCACATTGTTCGCGTTATTGACAGATTCTTCTTCCCTGGGAAATATTTTGCGTAATCGATCAAACATCATTTTGTTTTATGAGTGAATTCTTTTCACAATGAAAAACAGTGGCTACGTAGTTTATGTTCAAATATCTATTATGAAAGAATAGAGGGTGTCTAAGGAGCTGGCTAGCAATGAGAAATATATATGCGTAACTGGGATCGGTTGTCTGAAGTGCTGGCTATCCCGGAACACGTGCGGTGGCGTTATAAGAACGCGGAATATATGTACACGGACCATATTTCATTAAGGATGGGCCTTTGAGTGCCCAGTTCCAGTCATCTTTTTTCTGACCGGACGTTTAATGTAAAAATGAGTGTAGGTGTACAAATAACGAAAATCATTATGAACTTGTATGAAAAATACTACAGGAAAAGAGAGTGCCATAATAGTCTCGTAAAAACATACTAACAGCCACAGCAACAACAACAGCATTTACTTCTTTCTGCAAATAATATTACACCAAGTGCTGACCAGAAAAAAGCAATGATGAAACTAACCGAGGTGTGTCAGACTCAAATAAAAATTCTTTACAGGTTTTTATAATTAGAGACTGGTGTAAACTTTCAAATATAATACTTAATCATATCATGATTAGTAAGTTTCTTAATTCATTTTGGTTAAAGCTTGAAATTGTACTTGGTGTGTCATCATAGTCACCCTCTATCAACAAAATATATCTAAAAGTTGTTGATGAATTGCCTCGTTGAATTTATCTCATTAGATTATAAACGAATACTTAGAGGAATACTGTTCTATATTTTAGAGATAGCGTAAGAAAACGAGAGCAGAGAAACCCACAATGAGAGACAGTTTCAAAGGCCATACAAAACGCCTTATTTACAGAATACCCTGGTATCCTGGTACAAACACTTCGTTCAAAGGGACAAAAATTTTAGCCACTGTGGCCTTTGGTTTTGACATGGAATATTAAGTAACAACAAGCTACACAAATCCTAAACGATTTCGGATAAAATATGGAAACGATTTCCTATCATACTTGGGAATTATATTGTGTAAACGAGCTGTGAAATCAACTGATAAATGGCGAGGCCTGAACTGATCTGGCTTACGGTAACAATGCAAAGTAAAATGGTTTCTTTTGTACTGTAAATTTTCCTAGAGATCTTCTGCCTCAAGGAATAACTACCTTACACTGCAAAACAGAGGCTTCGTGGTTTGTGCTTAAATACTTATTTAAGAGTTGATCGACGGCATTTTAGGACTGCTGGCGAAACAATACGTGCCGTGTGTGTGCTTGGGTGCTAGCTATTCAGAACGAGGTGGCCTTCATAAGAAAGCAAAGCAGGTGAATGTCATATTAGCTCACATAAGCAATCTCGGAAAGACTTATACGATTTAGGCGTGGAGCTCAAATATGAATTTTGCAGTTATTTCACCAACATTCTTCACCCTGCTTTTAGTAAAGTATGAATTTTGCATTGTTGCGTGTTGTCAATATTTCTGACCGCTTTATATTTCGAAGTTTAAGTTTTTTTTTTCAATAAAAAAAAAGTCTTACAGAATTGGTTTTTATAATTCATGGCGCGTTCATCCCTTCTCATAATATTCGAACGCACCTGTAACTGATCAGAATTGAAGGGTATGTTCGTGAACAATTAACTCAAAGTTACGCCTAAAAGTGAATACGTTTTAGTGTAGAAAATAACATGAAGACAAGAAGCCAGTCCAAGAGGGCTGTAGACGTTTCGTAAGTCCCGTATTTTATTACCAAGCTAAATTATTTTTAACACACCCGTTAAATTGTTCTCGCCTAAATGCAAAAAAATGAAAGCTTGCCAGACCTATTTCCAGTTTAATAAAATACCAGTTCAATAACCTATGATTCAACTAAAGTTTCCGAACCAATTCTTTAAGCGAGAGGAAAAAAGCAATGATTTTTTTAACAATCTTTAGCGGAAAATGCAAGCAAGATGCCGCGCAACACCCAGTTATTCAGAAATAGAAGATACAGGACGCAAACAAAGGAAACGTTGTCTTTACCTAAACTGGAGGAAACAGATACAACTGGACTACATTAACTTACCATCTGAAATGCAAAGAAGAAAGGCAAGACCCGAATAGGCTCTTTATTTCGTAAAAGGCACTACAGTTTTCCTCTGCTGCTAAAATTTCATTTGCTGTGGGGGCTGAATATTGTAAATGTGAGTCTCTTAATGCGCGTATTAGAACAACAAAGGATGCCACCCACGATCCTTCTGAAGTAACTTATTATTGGAGATACGCGATGTTCTACGTCACCTAGCAATGCACATGGAATTCCTTGCGTGT